CTCCAAACAATAGAATGCTCATAACGAATTCAAAGAAAAACCAAGTACAATACAAATCATCTTGCCGGAAACTTAAAGCACCACAGACACGTGGGCTAGAACAAAGGAACAAAATAACTAACAAACACAACTAACAGCCAACAACTAAGAATAAAGCAGTTGCCCTCAACCAAACCTTTACCCCTAACAATATCACCTAACAGGACAAAAGCAAGAAAAAAGAACTCAGAAGACCTATTCCCTACTGTTTTTCAAATATGCCTCCCATTCCCGCATTGCCACCCTAACAATAGCATGAGCCGGCCGTTAAACTTGTTCAAAAACCCAAAGATTACGAGACTTCCAAAGCCACCACAGGATATATGTAGATAGTTGTATCCTGGCTTAGAAGTCTCACTCCTATCCAATTGACATATATGCCCCCACCAATCCTTGAATTTCTCATTACCCTGTGGCCCTTCCCACCAAAGAGGAGCCAGTTTCCACACAGTTTCGTGACGTTCAAAGTCATTATATTGATCCAAATCATTGTCCAACTACATTGTGTGTGTATTCTTAGGCTATCCAGTTGAATAGAAAATACATCAGAACAAAGCATTAAATACAAAAGATTTTAGAAAGAAGAAAAAAAATAAGCATGTTTTAGCCATTGTATTGATTGTCATTCAATAATGTGGATTATTAAACACCATCTCCTTATTACTATTCACCGCCCTGCAAATTCCATTTTGCNCGGCAAGTGAAAGCTGAATATGCTTACAGCGAAAATTGGGTCCAAAAAGAAGTGACTTAACCATAAACACGTACGAACATCTCCATGCAACTATGCAAGCTCTCATTGGATAAACAAAATATTCATCAACACACCAAATACACATACAATAAGCGTTCTGAAAAATGTTCACCTTCCTCTTATTTTATGCTCAGAAAAATATTACTTAAGCTTCAAACATTCTCGTCTATAAGAAACAATACACTGAAGATCCACTATACAACTTAATAACTCCAAAAGTAGAGACTTCTAAACTCAATTCTAGCCATATTGTCAAATGCCCCAAACAAAATCGAAACATATTTACAACTCATAACAAACTAGAATCACAAGCCCTCAAGTACAAAGTACCCTTAATTTAATTCCTTCATGTCTTGTTTAGGCCATAGACGAAGCTTGCACCAACAGTGTCAATTTAAGATCCTCGGGGGCCATTAAAACAGGGCTATTAAATCACCAAGTGATATCTGAAAAGGATTGTTCAATCTTTACTATTAACCAAAGCCTAACATCTGATAATATTTTTGAATAATGGCAATGCAAGATCCAGCACTCCCTTTCTACCTCTTTCACGCATTGTAGTATTACGGATCCCGTAAACAACTTACCTAATTGATTATTGATGTATAGGAATCCATCAAAATAATGGGAAAGTAGGATATGTAGGTCTAGTTGAAAAAATAGGTAGACTCGAGAACTTCCTTTAGGTCGAAATCTCCTCGTTCGGGCAGTGGGGGGAATTTTAGCTTCGGGAAGGACTTTTGAAAACCGGCCAACAGCTGCAACGAGAATTGTGGTCAAGACAATTAATTTCATGAGCAAATTACAAAACTATTCGCAAGGTTTGTATATTTACTTGTTATCTTCAACAAGACAATGCGTTAAATCATTACAATTGGTGCCTAAGTGGAAGTGCAGTGATAATTGTCAAATGATCATTGGCAGATTTAAATGCAGTTGGAATTTTTCAAAAATAGATTGAATAAATGTTGACTAATCCTTGAACTAAAAGCATATGTGATTACACCTCATGGTTTCACAATCACGTAACCTATTTAATAAAAAAAAAGGCTTACATTTTCCAAAATAGGAGCTTCATAGAGAGCGACAAACTTTTCCCTGAGGATCTTGTTCATTGTGTCCACATCACATGCATGTGTCCAATATGAATCATGCACACCTGCGAAAAAACATGGTGAGAGCTGTTAGAATCTTTGAATAGCACAGTTACAATAATGAATAGAAATAAATGTGGTCAGGTTTGATTTTACGGACCTGCAAAATTTAAACCTGCCTCAGAGCAGGCAATAGCTGTCATCATCATATGGGAGCTATCGAGAGAGTGCACGAAATTTGGAGGAAAAGCTGATTTCTGCCGCTTTGCCATCACCTTTAATTATAAGGCAGCATGTAAGAAGAGTGATCATATGCTTATATTTACTCTGCTTGTTATCTTATTGATTGTTTTCTTTTGATTCTTTTCTTTTAGTACTGTCCTTTTGTAATGTATAAATTATAACAATGAAGACAATTCCGAATGTTTTAGTCTATAATTATAAGAAAAGAAATTATCTTTCAACATTTTCATTATCTGTCTTTCGTAAATTTGTGCTCACAAGGAATTTGCTATATAAAACACTCCATCACAATTTTCTGACTTCTTGAAACTGAACCCTAGCATAAATGAAAACCTTAATGAATGTGTTTGTAACACTTCAAAATACATGCAGCCATGTAAGATGACTGGAGAACTTTCATAATTTTTCTAAATCTTGGATATACTTTATGTCAGTGACTCTCACAATTGTGGGAATTTATTTGGAGAAAACTTTATATGCACCTAAAAAAATGAATATCTACCTTATCAGTTTCTCGTTGAAGAGTCAAAACCTGGAGAGAGGTCTTAATCTGCATCCATAATGACAACCCAATAATCAATAATATATGCCAATTTGAAATTATTTTTCTATCTATCATATTATATCATTTACGATAAATTTACCATGTGCCTTCCTAATTTGCGGTAGGGTTGGACAACAGGGAGTCCAAGTGGTGTAGTCCAACGCACAGGTTGATTTTCGGTTGCTATAAGCTGCAGAAGTGAAATAATTCAACGCAGATATATTACGCTGCAATGAATAAATTATCTTTCAAAATTACAAATAATCGGAGAAGTTTGTATTTTCTTTAACAAATACACCCCAGTGAGGGTGCTATTTGTCATGTCTTGTCTTATTCGGACTTTCCCATAGCTTCTGGTAGCACATTTTCTTTTTTCTTTCTTAAAGTTTTTTTTCTGCAACTAGACTGAATCTTGAGGGCAGTTTTGTAATTTACTAAGTAGACATAATATACAAACCTTTGCACAATCTCCCAGCCAGCCCATTATGCTTCGTGCAGCCTCAAACATTTCTCCCAATGCAGTCAAGGTTATCTGTGGAGGGTTTGGAAAGCAAATTAGCTCAAAATCAGAGTAATAAACACCATAATTATTTGGGAAGAGAAAGAATCTAACTTTTGCAGCATAGCAAGCACAGGAAAATAATTCTGCATCATCCTCAATCACCCCGCGCTCCTTTAACCTCTTCTTGATTTGATCACGGGCACCTATGTAAGTGACACCATACACTGATGTCATCACTGTTTGCTTCACTAATTTTCTATCCACCTGCACCGAACAAATAGAGTCAACAATGCACAATCATATTAATAAGTCAATTTAGCAACTTAAAATCACATTAATCATTAGTAATGTACATTCATATCAATAGCCGTGTGAATGAAACATAAACAAAATGTTGCAGCACCCATTCGAAAAGAAAACAGATCTTTAACCTCATAAAATATAAATTTACACACACACCTGTCCCCAAGTTTATTAGCCTCGTTAGTGAAGACAATTTGGCTTCTGTCCCGTTTTGTGGCAAATATGTTCTTAGCCCTTGTGTTTAAATTGTACGATTTACCCTTACATATATAGTGCTTTTTTTTTCGAAACAAATGATCATGTAAGTCGGTGTATATTCAAGAGGGTATGGCTGTCATTTTTTAGTCAAAAGGGCTAATCAAGTTTTTCCCAATATAGGGGCTAAAAACATCATTCGCAAAGAAAATTTTAAGTATCAACAGTAT